CAGTTTGTTAATGTGATGTATCACATTAATTGATTTGTGAATGTTGAACCATCTATGCATACAAGGGATAAATCCCACTTGGTCTGGATGAATGATCTTCCTGATGTGTTGTTGGATTCGATTGGCCAGGATTTTGTTGAGGATTTTTGCATCTATGTTCATCAGAGAAATTGGTTTGTAGTTCTATTTGTTGCATCTTTTCGGAGTTTAGGAATAAAGGTGATGCTGGCTTCATAGAAAGAATTTGGGAGGATTCCCTCTTTCAATTGTTTAGAAAAGCTTGATAAGAATTGGAGTAAGTTCTTCTTTAAACATCTGGTAGAATTCAACAGTGAAGCCACCTGGTCCTGGGATTTTCTTTATTGGGAAGGCCTTTATTACTGATTCAATATCCGTCTTGGTTGTTGGTCTGTTTAGGTTTTCTATGTCTTCATGGCTCAATTTAGGTAGATTGCATGTGTCCAGGAATCTATCCATTTCTTCTAGGTTTCCAAGTTTGTTGGCATACAGTTCTTTGTAGTAATTTATGATGATTATTTTTTATTTTGATTGATTTTATTTTGATTGATAGGATTCTTATTTATTTTTAGTATGTCTGTTGTTACATTTTCTTTTTTATCTCTAATTTTATTGATTTGGGTCTTCTGTCTCCTTTTTTTGGTTAGTTGGGCCCATGGTGTGTCAATTTTGTTCATTTTTTCAAAAAAACAGCTCTTCGCTTTGCTGATTTTTTTTTTTTTTGACAGGCAGAGTGGACAGGGAGAGAGAGAGAGAGAGAGAGAGAGAAAGGTCTTCCTTTGCCGTTGGTTCAACCTCCAATGGCTGCTGCAGTCGGCCGCGCACTGCGGCTGGTGCACCACGCTAATGCGAAGCCAGGAGCCAGGTGCTTCTCCTGGTCTCCCATGTGGGTGCAGGGCCCAAGGACTTGGGCCATCCTCCACTGCACTCCTGGGCCACAACAGAGAGCTGGCCTGGAAGAAGGGCAACCAGGACAGAATCCGGTGCCCCAACAGGGACTAGAACCCGGGGTGCCAGCACCGCAGGTAGAGGATTAGCCAAGTGAGCTGCGGCGCTGGTCAGTTTTTTTTTCTTAATACCGGGAATATGTCTCGCCATTCTCTCCTAGCCTGTAGGGTTTCTGATGAGAAGGCCACTGTGAGTTTAATTGGAGATCCTCTGAAAGTAATCTGGCGTTTCTCTTGCACATACTTTAGAATATTTTCTTTATGTTTTACTGCGGAGCATTTCATTATAATGTGTCATGGTGAAAATCTTTTCTGGTCATGTCTATTAGGAGGTCTATGTGTTTCCCATACTTGGATGCCCATTTCTTTCTCCAAATTGGGGGAATTTTCTCTTATTATTTCACTAAAAAGGTCTTCTTAATCCTTTCTCTTTTTCCACACCTACAGGTACTCTTAGAACCTGCATGCTGGGTTGTTTGATAGCATCCTGTAGATTCGCAACAGTGTTTTTTTGGTTTTCTAATTTCTTCTTCTTGTGTTTGGTCTGACTATAATTTCCTGTGTTTTGTCTTCTAAGTCAGATATTCTTTCTTTACCGATTCTTTTGGTAAGGTTTTCCACTGCATTTTTCATTTGTTCTATTGAATTCTTAATTTCTAAGATTTCATTTTGCTTTCTCTTTAAGATCTCAATTCCTGACAGAAATTTTCTATCATTTCATATATGGATTTCATTAGTTCGTGCAGTTGCTTCTGGTTACTTCTAAGTAATCCTATGATCATTTCTTTGAATGCCATTTCTGCCAATTCTTCAATCTCATTATCTTCACAATCTAGTATTGAAGTGTTGTGTTCTTTGGGGATGTCATGTTGTCTTCCTAATTGTTGTTTCTTGAATTGGTGCATTTGTTATTTGGCATTTGTGGGGATACTCATTGGTTTATATGTTTTTTCACTGTGGCGGTTTTTATCTTTGAACTATGAGTGAATTAGTGGAGTGTCTGCTTTCAGAGAATAACTAGAGGTGTGTGGTGGGTGTGGCCATGGAGCTCTGCTCAGTGTTGCAGGGTGGAAGGTGTATCTGAGGTGACACACCCAGGCTTGGCGTAGTAATTCTTTTTTTTTTTTAACCAAAGTGTAGGTATTTTCTTGTTTGATGGCATAGACTCAGCTGATTTTCTCTCCTTGAGGGAGTCCAGTGCCTGGGCACTAGCCCTAGTGAGTATATTATCCATCCGCTCTGCCACAAGGACCACACAAAGGTTCTGTGAAGTCCTCAATGTAAGCTCAGATTCCCCCGCAAAGTCCCTCACCAGGTAACCAGGAGCCCTGAGTGCATGGAGGCTCCCACAGTGACTGCCCAGTGTCCCAGCCACACCCTGAGTTGTCCCATGCAGCCTCAGTGTTTTCACAGTCCCAGCACACAAGCCCCCCGCAGTCCTGAGTGCATGGAGGCTCCCACAGTGACTGCCCAGTGTCCCAGCCACACCCTGAGTCGTCCCATGCAGCCTCAGTGTTTTCACAGTCCCAGCACACAAGCCTCCCGCAGTCCTGAGCTCCCAGCTCCGTCTGTTCTCCCCACCAGAGTCAGGAGTCTCTGCTTGGCTTGTTGCTGGGTGCAGACACAGGCTGGCACAGCTGTTACGTATGTCCAAAACGGTGCCTGCTATCTGTCAGCTTGTTACAGGACGCCTTTGCAGGATGATTGGAGACAAGAAACCTTCCTCTCCCCTTTGTTTTTTCTCCTCTAGTTTGGCAGGTTTACTATCCCCTGCTGGGCTCCAAGCTGGATCCCCTCTAGGTTCTTTCTGCTGCTTTTCTGCCAGTGGCTTGGGCTGCTGCAGTCTGGTCTCACCTCCCTCTCCAAGCTGGTGTGAGGCTCCCGGCTGCTGGGGTCCTAAGTTGTACACATCCTTGCCCTCCACCTAGGTCCACTGTGTTCCTCCAATTTGTGTAGCGTTTCCTCTGTTTTCTCCCTAACTCTTCCCTGAGACTGCACTCTTTCCACTTTTTTTAAAACTATCTTCTCCTAGACTCGGGCAGCAAGCTCCCTCCCAACTCCACCATCTCCTTTTTATTATTCCTTTTTAATATGGCCACGTGAATATTTGATGACGGTTACGGCTCACAGGATATTTCTACTGAGCAGAGGCCTTACCAGACCACAGTCACTCCAGGTGAAATGTAGGATAAGTCCCAGGCCCTCGCAGGGTCTCAGGTAGGGGATTTACCCTTAAAGGGATGCAATCATGCAATTCAAGTCTGCAGAATGGAGTATGTGATTGGAATGGGTTTTTAAATTCACCACAGCCTGTAAATTGTTTTGTGTGTGTCTGTGTCCTTCAGACTGGGACCCTTGGAACTCTACTTCCTGTGATCTTAATAACAAAAAATGGGTACTCTATGGTTAGGGGAAAATGTGAGTGACGCCAAGCTCTAGTCTGGCATGTTCCCTGCGGTGGCGATGGGGTACCCAGCACTGCCCCTGCTGATCAGCCTCCGAAGCCCTCTGGGCAGGACCCTGGATGGCGCTAGGATGTGGTCTGAGAAGTGTGGTCTGCATGAGGCTCCACGGCCAGCGTGCTCACTGCTCCTGAGTCCAGCTCAATGGGTGGTGCATAGCACCAGGTGAATAAGTCACGCTTAGCACAGCGTGGACCGGAGAAAACTCAGAGTTGGTGTCAACCTTCTGCCAAATTCCTGTTCCTTCCAACGCTAGCCATTCATGGGCACATGGTGGGGAGTGAAAGCCAGTCCTTCTTCTCATGTTGTGTTGTCAGAGCAGAAGACAAATGATAAGACAAGAAGATAAAATAGCAAGTTAGGTGGAGAAGGGTGAGCTCTGGAGAGAAAATAGGAAGTGGAGGAGGGGGTGGGGGCTGCAGAGTAGGGGGTGGTTGGAGAGGGGTTTCGGGGAAGGCTTTGATGCGAAGGTGACTTTTGAGTTGTGAAGCCCTGGGCCAGCCCTGATCTCTATACACAGGTGCTCCTGAGGCCCGACAGGGGTGGCACATGTAGGGGTGTACAGAGAGCACCCTGCACCTCTGAAGAGCTCAGAAGCTCTGTCCCCGACTTCCTGTTCACTGGCTTCTTCACTTCCTCAAACTCTCAAAGGTTTATGACCTAGGTGGATTGTCCTTGGTGTAGAACTTATCCAAAGCCATTTCCACTTAGCCTTCCTGGCATCTCCCAGGGATGAGCCTTGTCTGGCACACATTCCTGTTCTCCGAGAAAGGGAGAGAGGGAGAGAGAGAGAGAGAGAGAGGTGTCTTCTATCCACTGGTTTATCCCCACATGAAGACCTCAGCCCAGAGCTGGGCCAGGCTGAAGCCAGGAGCCAGGAACTCCATCTGGGTCTTCCACATGGGTGACAGAAACTCAAGAACTTGGGCCATCATTTGCTGCTTCCCAGTGCACTAGCAGGGAGCAGGGTCAGAAGCAACAAAGCTGGGACTTGAACCCGTGTTCTGACATGCGCTGTGGGTGTCCCACACTGCAGCTTAACCCACTGCCCTGCCACGCCCACCCTCGCCTCCTGTGCTCAAGGAGTGCCGCTTCAGCTTCATTCACAGCTGAGTCTACACCGTATAAGAAGGGAACATCCACTTCAAAAGATAGCCATCCCAGACTTCCCAAACCCAGTGAGTACGGGATGTCCCACCTGCAGGCTCTCACCCGTCCCCTCCTCTATCCAGCACACATGTATTGAGCACCTACTGTGTGCTTGGCATCGTGCCGTGTGCTTGGAAGAGAGCACTTACTAGATCAGACTGAAGTGTCTGCTCTCCAGGCTCGTATGGTAGCAAGGGAGGTGGGAAACGATCGATAAAGGTAATAAGCGAGTAAATGAAATCGTATATTAGCTGCTAAGAACTCAGGAAGGAAGGAAAAGAGGAGCTGCATCCGAGGGACTGGCGCGAGGGAGGAGCGTGGGCTGCTCCCCTGGGCAGGGGCAGGGCTGGAGGGATGGAGGGAAGGAACTGGGTGGGGGGGGCGGGTTGCCTTCTGACCCCTGCCTTGTGTCCCTGCCTTGCAGGCGCCGTGGCCTGAGTGACCAGACCATGGAGACCCTGCTTGGTGGCCTGCTGGCGTTTGGCATGGCGTTTGCCGTGGTCGACGCCTGCCCCAAGTATTGCGTCTGCCAGAACCTGTCTGAGTCACTGGGGACCCTGTGCCCCTCTAAGGGGCTCCTCTTCGTGCCCCCCGACATCGACCGGCGGACGGTGGAGCTGCGCCTGGGCGGCAACTTCATCATCCACATCGGCCGCCAGGACTTCGCCAACATGACCGGGCTGGTGGACCTGACCCTGTCCAGGAACACCATCAGCCACATCCAGCCCTTCTCCTTCCTGGACCTCGAGAGCCTGCGCTCCCTGCACCTCGACAGCAACCGGCTGCCGGGCCTCGGCGAGGACACGCTGCGCGGCCTCGTCAACCTGCAGCACCTCATCGTCAACAACAACCAGCTGGGCGCCATCGCCGACGACGCCTTCGAGGACTTCCTGCTCACGCTGGAGGACCTGGACCTGTCCTACAACAACCTGCATGGCCTGCCCTGGGGCTCCGTGCGGCGCATGCTCAACCTCCACCAGCTCAGCCTGGACCACAACCTGCTGGACCACATCGCCGAGGGCACCTTCGCCGACCTGCAGAAACTGGCTCGCCTGGACCTCACCTCCAACAGGCTGCACAAGCTGCCCCCGGACGCCATCTTCGCCCGCTCCCAGGCCTCCGCCCTGACCGCCACGCCCTTCGCCCCGCCCCTGTCCTTTAGCTTCGGCGGGAACCCGCTGCACTGCAACTGCGAGCTTCTCTGGCTGCGGAGACTGGAGCGCGAGGACGACCTGGAGACCTGCGGCTCACCGGGGGGCCTCAAGGGGCGCTACTTCTGGCACGTGCGGGAGGAGGAGTTCGTGTGCGAGCCGCCCCTCGTCACCCAGCACACGCACAAGCTGCTGGTTCTGGAGGGCCAGGCGGCCACGCTCAAGTGCAAGGCCATCGGGGACCCCAGCCCCCTCATCCACTGGGTGGCCCCCGATGACCGCCTGGTGGGGAACTCGTCCAGGACCGCCGTGTATGACAACGGCACGCTGGACATCCTCATCACCACGTCTCAGGACAGCGGCGCCTTCACCTGCATCGCGGCCAACGCCGCCGGGGAGGCCACCGCCACGGTGGAGGTCTCGGTGGTCCAGCTACCGCACCTCAGCAACAGCACCAGCCGCTCCGCACCCCCTAAGTCCCGCCTTTCGGACATCACCGGCTCCAGCAAGACGGGCCGGGGAGGCGGAGGCAGCGGGGGCGGGGAGCCTCCCAAAAGCCCCCCTGAACGAGCTGTGCTCGTGTCTGACGTGACCACCACCTCGGCCCTGGTCAAGTGGTCGGTCAGCAAGTCGGCACCGCGGGTGAAGATGTACCAGCTGCAGTACAACTGCTCGGACGACGAGGTACTGATCTACAGGTGAGCGGGGGCTGCGGCGGGGGCGGCAGGGGGAGGGCCCGGGGCTGTCCGAGCTGCCCCATCCGTGTCCCTCCTCCCAGTGGAGCCTGTAGGGGTCCCGGGGCAAACGGTGCCCGTGGTGCCAGGTAAGGAGGCATAGAAAGACATCACCTACCATTTCGAGGGGGGGGGGGGCGGCGGCAGGGTGTGTACGTGGGAGGGCCGCTCTCCCCGTGGGTGGCTGGGGTAGGTGGCCCCTGGGCTGTGAGCCTCTGAACTTCCTGTCTGGAGCCCAGCTGGGGGCTATGCAAGAACAGTTAGATCTCTTGGCCAAGGGATCTGACTTCTCCAAAGGCGAGCGCCCTTGGCCTTCCCCTGCGCTCCTATGCAGTCACAGGGAGGTCAAGGAGAGTGAGTTTCCTATCATGGCTCTGCCATTGGCTAGTCATTTAATTCTCCTGCCTCAGCTGCCTCATTTGGGCAAATGGGGGTAATCCGCCAGCCTTAGCGTGGACATCTGGTTACAGGGAGTTATATCAAACTGGGTTTTAAAAGACAGGCAGGAAAAGAAAAAGGGAGGAGCCAGTGTTGGCTCATGTAATTGAGAAGTCAGGAGCTTGCTTCAGGCCCAGCTGGATCAAAGGCCCCCACGGACGTGCTGCATTCGTGGTTTCTTGGGTCCCTTAAGTCCCGTTTTCCTCTGTGTTGGATTCACCCTGGGTCTGTCCTCCAGCGGCCCCGGGGAGGTGAGGGGAGGAGCTTCGCTTTCCCAGTGCGCTCGGAAGGGGTCAGGGCAGCTCCTGTGAGTGGGGAGGGCGTCATCCTGGCCACCTGTGCTGATCCCCGGCCTTGGTCTCCTTGCCACTGGTGGGTGACAATCATGTCACCGCTGTGAGGGTCAAGGGGGCATTTCCTGGGCCGGGGTGGGGGAGAGGGAGGGAGGTTGTGAGGAAGCTGCAGGAGACTTGCTTAAGCCGTTCAGAGGGAGGGAAGAAGTCGCAGGGTGGCGACAGAGGCCCCACGGCTGGGACTGCTGCCTGCAGACGCCCACCTGTCCGCGCCAGCCTCGGTTCCTGTGGAACGTGAGGGACCTGGCCTGTGGTCTTCCTCTCAGGGACTGTGAGGTGTCCTTTGAAGCTGCAACGTTTGGCTTCATGCACTTGAAATGACCGTGCTGAGGACGGGGCCCGTGGGCCTCACCAGACAGCCGAAGGGCTCACGGTGCAAGAGAGGTCATAAACCCCTGGTCCACCATTGGGCTTTCCTCCAGCCCGGTCTTCCTTAGCGGGTGGGTCTCTGGGCAGAGAGTACATGGGGGGAGGAACAGAGACCTGGGACTGAGTGGGGGGCGCCATGGATGCCCTAGTGGAGCTAGGGAGCCTCTAGTGTGCACCTGCTCGGCTTGTCCAGAGGGCGGATGCGTGTCTCAGGGTGGAGAGAAGGCAGTGTGAGAATGCAACCGCAGCACACGGGCGTGTGCACATACAGCATACAGAGAGGCGTGCCGCGGGCATGTGCACATACAGCATACAGAGAGACGTGCCGCGGGCGTGTGCACATACAGCATACAGAGAGACGTGCCGCGGGCGTGTGCACATACAGCAAACAGAGAGACGTGCCGCGGGCGTGCGCACATACAGCATACAGAGAGACGTGCCGCGGGCGTGTGCACATACAGCATACAGAGAGACGTGCCGCGGGCGTGTGCACATACAGCAAACAGAGAGACGTGCCGCGGGCGTGCGCACATACAGCATACAGAGAGACGTGCCGCGGGCGTGTGCACATACAGCATACAGAGAGGCGTGCCGCGGGCATGTGCACATACAGCATACAGAGAGACGTGCCGTGGGCGTGCGCACATACAACATACAGGGAGACGTGCCGCGGGCGTGCGCACATACAGCATACAGGGAGACGTGCCGCGGGCGTGCGCACATACAGCATACAGGGAGACGTGCCGCGGGTGTGTGCGCATACAGCATATGGAGAGACGTGCCGCGGGCATGTGCATATACAGCATACAGGGAGACGTGCCGCGGGCGTGCGCACATACAGCATACAGAGAGATGTGCTGAGGGCGTGCGCACATACAGCAAACAGAGAGACGTGCCACGGGCGTGCGCACTTACAGCATACAGAGAGACATGCCGCGGGCGTGCACGCATACAGCATACAAAGAGACGTGCCGCGGGCGTGTGCACATACAGCATACAGAGAGACGTGCCGCGGGCGTGCGCACATACAGCAAACAGAGAGACATGCCGCGGGCGTGCACACTTACAGCATACAGAGAGACGTGCCGCGGGCGTGCGCACATACAGCATACGGAGACATGCCGCGGGCGTGCACGCATACAGCATACAGAGAGACGTGCCGCGGGCATGTGCGCATACAGCATACAGAGAGACGTGCTGCGGGCGTGCACACATACAGCATACGGAGAGGCGTGCCGCGGGCGTGTGCACATACAGCATACAGGGAGACGTGCCGCGGGCGTGTGCGCATACAGCATACGGAGAGGCGTGCCGCGGGCGTGTGCACATACAGCATACAGGGAGACGTGCTGCGGGCGTGCGCACATACAGCATACGGAGAGACGTGCCGTGGGCGTGTGCGCATACAGCATTCGGAGAGACGTGCCGCGGGCGTGTGCACATACAGCATACAGAGAGACGTGCCGCGGGTGTGCGCGCATACAGCATTCAGAGAGACATGCCAGAGGGGTACGGTGCAACTTAGAGCTGTGGTTTTCCAATTATCTGAGTGGTAATCTTTGTAGAAACTTTAGAAAGTAGAGAAAGATTATAAAGAGGGACATGGAAAAGACCTGTATTCCTGCCCTCTGAAGCTAACCAGAGAGACTCGGAAAGAAGTGCCTGTCAGTTTTCTATCAACACCACATGATATTTATGATCAATCTCGGGTACTCTATTGCACCTTCATCCCTCGCTCTCAGCGTTATAGCTTGCTCAGTTCCCCTGCTGTTAAAATACATTTGAGTTCTGTAATTTATTTTACCGGTATTCTACTGTTGGACATTCAGATTGTTGTCCATTTTTCAATATTAAAACAGTGATGGATATTTTTGTGCAGAAATACATTTGTGCAGCTTCACTGATTCCCTAAACATATTTTCCGAGGACATGAATTATTAGTTTAACAAATGCATTATAATCTTTACACATTCCCTAGAAATATTTATCTACCCTCTCACCAGGGGAAGGTGACAGTACTCATTTTGGCCACGACTTCCCCAATATTGAATGTATAATAACTTTTATCTTTGCCAATTCTAGAGGTGAAAAATGGAACTTGTTTTAATTTGCATTTCTTTGATAACTGGTGAGGTTGACCTTTTGAAAATCAGTATGTTTCTTCACTTTTGAATTTATCATGTGGTCTTGGCTTTGATAAAAAGTGTAAAGGTGAGGAACTACCAGCACAGAGTCTTGCTTGGGTACAAGGGGAGGGCACACGCAGCATCCAACAGGCCAGAGAAGAGGTGGGCAACAGACTGGCCCTGCTCTATGGGGTCCCAGAAATGCTGGGGTGGGGCATGCCCTTGGCACAGTAGTTAGGAGGCCCCTCGGGACATCCACATCCCATGCTGCAATGCCTGTGTTCCCAGCTCTGCTCCCGATTCTAGCTTTCTTATGTGCATCCTGGTGGGAGGACCCTGCCACCCATGGGTGAGACCCGGATGAAGTTCTGAGCTGCTGGCTGTGGCAGGCATTTGGGGAGTGAACTAGAGGATGGACGATCTTACTCTCTCTCTCTCTGTGTCTGCCTTCCAAAATAGATAAAATAAACTAATAGAAACACCATTAAAGGGGAGCTTCCTAAATGAAGGCCCCAGAGACTGTGTGCACTTAAAAAAAATTAATAAAAACCCAGCAGGAGGGGCAGGGGTGGGCTTAGGGCTGTGCTCCTGCAGTCACTTGGGAGGGAATGCGAGTCGCTTGCATTTTGGGATTGAGAACCTGGAGACACTAGGTTATAAAGACTTTATAGTAGATATGAAACAGAAGCATCAGAAATGTTGGGATACACAGATGCAGGTAGCAAAGAGGACTTCCTCCCAGGGTGCCCACAACAATGAGAAGTGACCCAGCAGATGGTACGAACTCACAGAAGCACTCCAGAAACACATATCATTATTAGCGGGAGGAGTCATCCCTGTGAGAGTGACACGGTGCAAGGGGGATCGCTCGCCTGACTGCGGGGGCGGGGTGGGAAATGGGAGAGGCAGAGCAGATGCACCATCCAGTCTTCTCTCTAACAGCTGTCCGAGTGTTGGAGGAGACGGTGAGTGCGGGTCTCTGGGTCACGCACGGTAACAGAACCCCCTCCTTCACATCCTTGCAAGCTTCCTGTGTGTTTGGTCCTGAGCCTTGTGGGCAGTCCCTCACTGAACCCTCCTGGACAGCCTGAGAAGTATGAAAGACCAAGGGAGCTCTACAAAAACACTCCCAAGATCACCCAGCCAGAAAGAGGCAGGATCGTGATTTGAACCCAGGCCTCTGGTTAAGTCCTCTCCAGGGACACTGGACAGGCGGCCTGACTGGCAGGCAAAGGTGGAAAGATTTTAACTTAAGGGATCACAGTCTTCATGGTCTAATCCATTTAAGATTCTCATAATCCAATGATCAAGACAGTGTGGCTTCCACTGGTCTAGATCCACTTGTTTTGGCCTGTTGGGTCCACCATGTCCTCCACCTCCCAGGGTTAGAGTGCCCTGTCCCATAGGCATGTGAGGGCAGAGATGGGAACTTTGGTAGAAACTCAGAGTCCAATCAGCCCAGGACACAGGTCAGTGACAAGTCGCCAGGGCCCTACCCCAAGGTGCACTGCAGACCTGGGGAGCAGCGGAGGAAAACCTCGGGTTCTTGTCTGCATGGCAGGAAGGCAGAGTGGCGGCGGCGGTGACCCCAAGGCGTGGACGCTCAGACAGGATTTGCATTTGGCTGTGGAATGGCATCTTGCTCTTTGCTGGGATAATAAGCTCCCTCATTATCTCA